GTACTATGTCTGACTGGATGAGGGAAACAAAAGAAAAAATAAACAAATGGGAGTACATCAAACTAAAAAGCTTCCGCACAGCAAAGGAAACCATCAACAAAATGAAAAGACAGCCTAACAATGGGGAGAAGGTATTTGCAAACCATATGTATGATAAGGAGTTAATATCCAAAATATATGAAGAACTCATATGTCTCCACAACAAAAAAAACTAACAGCCCAATTAAAAAATGGGCAAAAGATCTGAAGGGACATTTCTCCAAAGAAGATATACAGATAGCAAACAGGCACATGAAAAGATTTTCACCATCGCTAATTATCAGGGAAATGCAAATCAAAACGACAGTGAGATATCATCTTATGCCTGTCAGAATGGCTATAATTAACATGACAGGAAACAAGTGTGGAGAGGATGTGGAGAAAAGGGAACTCTCATACAACACTATGCGAGTGCAAACTGGTGCAGCCACTATGGAAAACAGTATGGAGAGTCCTCAGAAAATTAAGAATCGAACCACCATGTGATCCATCTGTTTCACTGCTGGGTATTTATCCAAACATGAAACACGAATGCATAAAGATACATGCACCCCTATGTTCACTGCAGAATTATTCACAACAGCCAAGACTTGGAAACAACCTAAGTGTCCATCAAGGGACAAATGGATAAACAAGATGTGTATATATACACAATGGAATACTACTCAGCCATATAAAAGGATGAAATCTGGCCATTCTGACAACGTGGATGCACCTTGAGGGTATTATGCTAAGGGAAATAAGTCATATGGAGAAAGTCAAATATCGTATGTTCTCACTTATAAGTAGAAGATAACAACAACAGCAAACACACACATAGAAACAGAGATTGGATTGGTGGCTACCAGAGAGGAAGAGGGAAAGAAGGAGGGCAAAAGGGGTAATTAGGCACATGTGTATGGCGATGGATTTTAATTAGTCTTTGGGTGGTGAACATGATGTAATCTACACAAAAATCTAAATATCATGATGTATGCCTGAAATTTATGATTTTATAAACCAATGTTACTGCAATAAAAAATAAAATAGGGGCCAGCCCAGTGGCACAGTGGTTAAATTCACACACTCCTCTTCAGCAGCCTGGGCTTTGTGGGTTCAGATCCTGTGTATGGACCTACACACTGCTCGTCAGGCTATGCTGTGGCAGTGTCCTACATACAAAATAGAGGAAGGCTGGCACACATGTTAGCTCAGGGACAATCTTCCTCAAGCAAAAAGAGGAAGATTGTTAACAGATGTTAGCTCAGGGCTGATCTTCCTCACCAAAAAAATTAAAGTAAAATAAAATTGAATTTCCAGTAAAAAGAATCTTTGCAAAACAAATATCTCATAAAGGACTTATATCCAAAATACACAGAGAATTCTTAAAACTGAACATGAGAAAACAACCCAATTTAAAAGTGGGCAAGTGATCTGTACAGATACCTCACCAGAGAATGTAACCTGATGGGAAATAAGTATATGAAAAGATGCTCAGCATCATATGTCATTAGGGGATTGGAAAATAAAACACCATGAGATTTAACTACACATCTATTAGAAGGACTAAAATCGGAAACGCTGACAGCTCCAAATGCTGTAAAATATGTGGGGTAACATGAACTCTCTTTTATCGCTGGTGGGAATGCAAAATGGTACAGCCACTTTGGCAGACAGTTTAACAGTTTATTACAAAACTAAACATAGTTTTACTACTTGATCCAGCAGTTGTGCTCCTAGATATCTGCCCAAATAAATGGAAAACTTTTGTCTACACAGAAATCTGTACACAAATGTTTATAGAAGCTTTGTTCATAATTGCCAAAACTTGGAAGCAACCAAGATGTCCTTCAGTCAGTGAATGGATAAATAAAATGTGGTACATCCATACCATGGAATATTATTCAGCAGTGACAAGAAATAAGCTATCAAGCCATGAAAAGACATGAGGGAACCTTAAATACTCAGCATATTGCTAAGTGAAGGAAGACAGTTTGAAAAGTCTACAAACTTTATGAGTCCAGCTGTATGACATTCTGCAAAAGGCAAATGATAGACTCAGTAAAACCATCAGTGCTTGCCAGGATTTGGGGAGCGAGGAGGAATGACTAGGTGGGGTACAGGGGAGTTTTAGGTAAACTATTCTGTATGATACTGTAATGGTGAATACATGACATTATGCATTTGGCAAAACCCATAGAACTTTGTAACACAAAGAGTGAACCCTAATGTAAACTGTTGACTTTAGTAGTAATAATGTTTCAATATGGTTTCATCAACTGTAACAAATGTACCATACCAATGCGAGACATTAGGGTAGTAATCATAACAGAAAATGGGGGGGGGCGGGCAAGGAAAGGGGACATGTGGGACCTTTCTGGACTTTGTTCAGTTTTTTGGTAAGCCTAAAAGTCCTCTGAGAAATAAAATGTATTAATTAAAATAAAAGATAAACTATAGTATGAGTTCATACCAATACGTCCAATTTAAATTCTGAACTGCAGGCTTTTTATTTAACTTTTTAAAATCTTACATCTGCATCTATTTTCTCTCATGCCAGGAGTCCCAGTTGTCATGGCACTAAGAGTGATAGAACATCACACTTATTTTATCCCACATCATACACACATCCCTATAAAGTAAGAAGATCAGCACTACCACCAACAATATGATAATCAAAACAGTTTGAGATAATTACTTTGGCAGTTCTTTTTTTCCCCCCATGTAGTGTGTATCTCAGTCAAATTACTGTGTTTGGAAGTTATGTGAAATAGTTTCCTGTTACGGGTATGCCACCAATTGTAGATGCTGGATTTTTTTATTCAGTGTTTTCAATTTTTAAGCTATGCTTTCTTATAATTTAATTTTGCTTTATAATTACATAAAATATTTATTTAGCTCCAAAGTCAAATCTAGAAGGCAAGTTATGTTGAAAGAAGTCTGACTTCTATCCCTGCCCCCTCCACCTATTCCTTCCCCACTCTGTAACTATGGGGTCATCCCTGCCTTTTAAAAATAATGGCAAATGTGTATTATATATCCATACTTCCTCTCCATCCTAAGATGAAAAGCATAAGTATACGTACTTTTGTCTATATCTTTTTACAATTAACAATGTATTTTAAACAGCACTCCATATTAATATAAAAGTATATTCCCTTTTTAAACTGTTGCATAGTACTCCATGATGTGGATATACTATGAATTACTCAACCAGCCCCCCACAAGTGGACAGTTGGGTTATTTTTTATTTTTTGCTGTAACAAAATTGTGCTTCAGTGAAAACCTTATGCATGAGAATTTTTGAAATTTTCCTAGTGCCATTTTGGGATAGATTTCACATAAGTCATGTTGCTAGACCAAAACATATCTAATTGTGCTAAATATTGCCACATTCCCTTTCATAGGGTTGGTATTCATTCATATTCATACTGGCAGTGTATGAGAGTACCAGTTTCCTTCAGCCTTGCCAACAGACTTTGATGTCACATTTGGAAATTCAGTATTGTAAGAGGTGAGAAATAGCACCTCAGTGTAACTTTTTTAAACTGCTTTATTAAGACAATTCACATACCATACAATTCACCCATTTATAGTAGACAAATTGATGACTTTTAGTATATTCATAGTCTTGTATAGCTACCACCACTGTCAATTTTAGAACATTTTCATCACCCCAACACGAAACGCAATATCCAGTAAAAGCCGTTTCTTATTTTCCTCCAACGCCCCGCCCTGTGCAACTACTAATCTTTCTGTCTCTATAGATTTGCCCATTCTGGACAACTCATATAAATGGAATTATATAATATGTGCTCTTTTGTGACTGGCTTCTTTCACTAAGCATATTGTTTTCAAAGCTTACACATGTTGTAGCATGTATCAGTATTTCTTTTTGTGGCCAAATATTTCATTGTATGGACATACCACAATTTATTTATCCATTCATCAGTTAATGGACATTTGAGTTGTTTCTACTTTTTGCTTATTATGAATAATAATGTTGTGAACATTGTTTACAAGTTTTTATATGGACACATTTTCAATTCTATTGGGCATATATCATGAGAGGGATTTGGGGTTATTTTGGACATTTCTGTTGGGTATATAACTAGGAGTGAAATTGCTGTATAATATGGCAACTCTATATTAACCTTTTGAGGAACTGCAAAACTGTTTTCCAAAGCACCTGTACCATTTTACATTCCCATCAGCAATGTATGAGAGTTCCAGTTTCTCTATATCCTCCATGTTCTCCATATCGTCACCTTTCTGGAGTTTTAATTTGCGTTTATCTTAAAAAGTTGAGTATACTTTCATTTGGTGAAAAGCCATTTACATTTTTTATCAACTGTCCGTTTCTCTAGTCCATTTTTATATAATGTTGGTAGTCTTTTTCTTTCATCTATTTTTAGAAACTTTATGTATTAGGGATATTGCACCTTCGTAAATATTTTTTTCCCAGTTTGTCATTTTACTTACCTTATCGTGTTTTTGACGTGCTAACCTTTTTTTTTTCTTCTTTAAATGTAATGTGGACATTTTTATCAAGTTATGATTAGGAACATTTTCCCCATTCCTAGGTTACAGAAGAAGTCACTAAAGTTTTATTCTAATTATTTGTATGTTTTCACTTCTGTAAATGTGGATATCTGGTCCATTTGGAATTTATCTGGCTGTATGATGAGGAATTAATGCAATTTTATCTGTTTCCTGTATGTTTATCCTTATGTTTATCACTTCATTGATTAAAAAGGGTCCATCTTTTCCCTACTTAGTTGAGCTGCCAGCTTTATTGTGTACTAAATTTGCAGTTATAATTGTGTCTGTTTCTGGATTTTTCTTTTCTTCTACATTGGTTCCATTGACATTTTATGAGTATGAATATAATATTCAGTTAGAATCTAACATTTCTAGCTTAGAAGTTTCATTTTTCAAGCAGTATGAAAATAGCATTTGTTTACTTTCTTGTTATCTTACAGACTTAGGATCCAGGTGTAAGAGCAAGAACCTCTCATCAAAAAGAGAAATTTATGAAATAGAATCATCTCAATGGGAAATAATAGAACAACTTGCAAGCCATAAGTGTGAGTGTAAAAGTTTTCGAGATGATAGGGAATGCAAAGGCCAGTTTGAAAGCCAATTAGGAAATAAAGAGGAACTTCTCAGGCAATTAGTCATCACTTATGAAGAAATTCCCAATTTTAGCCAGACTGATACATCCCTTACATTAAAACAGAGAATTCATTCTATTGAGAAATCCTATGAATGTAAAGCATGTAGAAAATACTTCATCCATGGCTTTCAATTGACTGAACATCAGAAAAGTCATTCTGATGAAAAGTTCTATGAATGTAAAGTATGTGGAAAGGCCTTTATTCGAGGCTCACAACTTACTTACCATCAGAGAGTTCATGTTGCTAAGAAACCATATGAATGTAAGGAATGTGGAAAAGCCTTTATTTGTGCCTCGCAACTTACTTATCATCAAAGAATTCATACAGGGGAAAAGCCTTATGAATGTAGAGAGTGTGGAAAGGCCTTTATTCGTGGCTCTCATCTTACCCAGCATCAAAGAATTCATACTGGTGAAAGATCATATGAATGTTATGAATGTGGGAAGGCCTTTTTTCGTGGCTCTCAACTTACTTACCATCAGAGAGTTCATACCTCAGAGAAACCATATCAATGTAAGGAATGTGGAAAGGCCTTTATTCGTGGCTCCCAACTTACTGAGCATCAGAGAATCCATACTGGTGAGAAACCCTACGAATGTAAGAAATGTGGGAAAGCCTTTAGTTATGGCTCACAGCTTACTCTACATAATAGACTTCATACTGGTGAAAAACCCTATAAATGTAAAGATTGTGAGATGGCCTTTATTCGTGGCTCACAACTTACGGAACATCAGAGGATCCATACAGGTAGGAAACCACATGAATGTAAGCAATGTGGAAAGGCCTTTAACTATGGCTCACAGCTTCTTCGACATCAGAGGATTCATACTGGTGAGAAACCCTATGAATGTCAAGAATGTGGGAAATCATTTATTCGTGGCTCACAACTTACTGAACATGAAAAAATTCACACTGGTGAAAAACCCTTCGAATGTAAGGAATGTGGGAAAGCTTTTATTCGTGGCTCACATCTTACTCAGCACCAGAGGATTCATACTGGTGAAAAACCCTATGAATGTAAAGAGTGTGGTAAGGCCTTTATTTATGGCTCGCAGTTGACTCAACATCAAAGAATTCATACAGGTGAGAATCCCTATGAATGTAAGCAGTGTGGGAAGATCTTTATTTGTGCCTCACAACTTTCTCTACATCAGATTTTTCATACTGGTAAGAAAGCATATGAATGTGAGGAATGTGGTAAGGCTTTTATTCGTGGCTCACAGCTAATTTACCATAAGAGAGTTCATACTGGCGAGAAGCCCTATGAATGTAATGAATGTGGGAAAGCATTTATTCGTGGTTCACATCTTACTCAGCACCAGAGAATTCATACTGGTGAGAAACCATACAAATGTAATGACTGTGGGAAGGCCTTTAATCGTGGCTCACAACTTACTCAACATCAGAGAATTCATTCTGGTGAGAAGCCTTATAAATGTAATGAATGTGGTAAGGACTTTAGACGTCATTCACACCTTATGCAACATCATAAACTTCATAATGGAGAAAAGCTGCACCAAAATCTTAATTTAGTAAATCCTCTACCTGTCTGCCCATGACATTCAGCTTTGGAATATTAGACACTTCAGGTTGTGAATGTGGGAATCCTTTTTTAATTTTCATTCATAAGTAATTCAGAGAATTCACAGTAAGAAAGGCTAGATTAATATAAATGCAGAATTACCTTTCATCTTATTTCAATCTTTGTTAGACATAAGTGAATTCATTACAAGAGCACAACCCTAAAATGTAGGGTTCTCTTGTTCAGCATCATTCTCTTGTCCAGCATCACCTGAGCTCCACCATTTACTGTGTTCGTGTGTTCCTTTGGGGAAGTTTCTTAACCTCTGTGTGCTTTAGTTTACTCCTTTATAAAACATTAATATCATATATCTCATCTTAGTGTTCTGCAATTTAAAGGAGTAAATACAGTTAAAGCCTTAAAGCAATGTGTAATACATTGTTTATGCTTAATAAATGTTAGCTATTATTGTAAACATTTTTATTTGGTACTTTAAACACATACTATTACAAAATTCAAATGAGAGGAAGATTTAAAAAATAACAATACATAAGGTAATCTTTTTGTCACTTTTACTAAGCATCAGATAAACCATTTTGGAACAAAAGTGTCTATTATAATTAATGTGAGGTTATACCTTGTCCTAAATCATAAAATTCTTACCAGAAGGGAACCCTAAGGAAAAAAGTATTTGGCTGTTACAAATAAAGTTGCTTATGAACATTTGTCTATAGGTTTTTGTGTGAAAGTAAATTTTCATTTCTCTGGCATAAATTCCTAGCAGTGCAGTTTCTGACTCTTATAATAAATGTATGTTTTCTCTTATAAAAAATGGACAAATTATTTTTTCAAAGTGGCTTTACCATTTCACATTCCCACCAGGAACATGTGAATGACCCAGTTTCTCTGCATCTAGCATTTGGTTGTTGTCACCACTTTTTATCTTAGCCATTCTGATCGGTGTGTGGTGATGTCTCTTTGTGGTTTTAATTTGCATTTCCCTAATGGCTAATGATACTGAACACCTTTTCGTGTGCTTATTTGCCATCTGTATATCCATCTTGGTGAAATGCCTTTCCGTGTCTTTTACTCATTTTTGAATTGTAGAGGCATACCTTAGAGATATTGCGGGTTTGGTTCCAGACCACTGCAGTAAACCAAATATTGCAATGAAGCAAGTCACGTGAATTCTGGGGTTTCCCAGTGCATACAAAAGTTATGTTTAGGGGCCTGCCTGGTGGTGCAGTAGTTAAGTTCATGTGCTTCTCTTCGGCAGTCCAGGGTTTCCTGGGTCAGATCCCAGGTATGGACCTCCACACCGCTTATCACACCATTCTGTGGCAGACGTCCCACATATAAAATAGAGGAAGATGGGCACAGATGTTAGCTCAGGGCTGATCTTCCTTGGGGTAAAAAAAGTTATGTTTACACTATACTGTAGTCTGTTAAGTGTGCAGTAGCATTATGTCTAAAAAAACAAGGTACATACCTTAATTTTAAAATATTGCTAAAAAGTACTAACCATCATCTGAACCTTCAGTGAGTCATCATCTTTTTGCTGGTGTAGTGTCTTGTAAGAAAAAAAGCAACATCTGCAAATCATAATAAAGTGAAGTACAATAAAATGAAGTATGCTTGTATATTTTTTTACTTTCGGGTTTTGAAAGTGTGCTTTCTATATTCTAGATGATACTAGTCCTTTGTTGAGTATGTGGTTTGCAAATATTTTTCCACAGGGCATAGCTTAGCTTTTCATCCTTTTAACAGGGTCTTTTGAAGAGCAGAAGTTTTCAGTTTTGATAAGTTCTAGTTTATCAGTTTTTCATTTCATGGATCTCGCTTTTGATATCAAATCTAAGGAGTCCTTGATTAGCCTTGGGTCCCAAAGATTTTCTCTTATGTGTTTGCATAAAGTTTTCATGGTTTTATGTTTTACATTTAAGTCTATGATCCATTTTGAGTTAACTTTTTGTGTACATTGTATACTTTAGCTTGATATTCTTGTTTGTTTTGGCTTATGGATGTCCAATTATTCCAGCACCATTTGTTGAAAAGAATATCTTTCCTCCATTGAATTTCTTTTGCATCTTTGTCAAAAATCCATTGAATATATTTGTGTACATCTATTTCTGGGTTTTCTGTTCTATTCCATTGACCTGTGTCTATCCCTCTGCCAATACCACCCTGTCTTGATTATTGTTACTCTATAGGATGTCTTAATGTTGGGTAGAGTGATTCTCCCCACTTTATTATTTTTCAAAATTTATTTAGCTATTCTAGGTCTTTTGCCATTTCATATAATTTCTAGAATAAACTTACCTATATCTACAAAAAAAGCTTACTGAAATTTTAATAGGAATTCAATTTGGGGATAATTGACATCTTTACTATCTGAGTCTTCCAATCCATGAACATGGTATGCCCGTCCATTTTTAGGTATTTATTGAGGGTTTAATTGTGTTCTCCAAAACGTTCAAGTCCTAACTCTCAGTACCTGTCAATGTGACCTTATTTGAAAATAATGGTCTTTGCAGATGTAATCAAGTTAAAATGAGGTCATATTGGATTAGAGCAGGCACTACTCTAGTAATTGGTGTCCTTATAAGAAGAGGGAAATATGGATACAAACATAGGAAAGGCCATGTGATATCAGAGACAGAGGTTGGAATGATGTCTTTATAAGCCAGGGAGCACCAAGGATTACTGGTAACCACCAGAAACTGGAAGGGGCAAGAAGGGATCCTTCCCTAGAGCCTTCAGAAAGAGCATGGTCCTCCCAATACTGTGATTCTGCATATCTGTCCCCGAGAACTGTAAGAAAATAGATTTTTCTTGTTTTAAAATCCTAAGAAACATTCAATCTTTCACCGTTAAGGATGTCAGTAGGTTTTATGTAGATGCTCTTTTTTAAAATGAAAGAGTTCTCTGTTCCTTAGGGGTTCTTTTTTTATTTATTTTTATTTTTTTTGAGGAAGATTAGCCCTGAGCTAACATCTGCTGCCAATCCTCCTCTTTTTGCTGAGGAAGACTGGCCCTAAGCTAACATCCATGCCCATCTTCCTCTACTTTCTGTGTGGGATGCCTACCTCAGCATGGCTTGCCAAGCAGTGCCATGTCCGCACCTGGGATCCAAACTGGTGAACCCCGGGCCTCTGAAGCAGAACTTGTACACTTAACCACTGTGCCACCAGGCCAGCCCCAGGAGGTTCTTTTTTTAAAAAAAAAATCATATATGGATGTTAGATTTTATCAAATGCTTTTTCTGCAGCAATCAATATGATCATAAGATTTTTCTTCTTCAACTTGTTGATATGGTGGATTACCTTGATTGATTTTTGAATGTCAAACCAGTCTTGTATACTTGAAATAAATCCCACTCAGTCACGTTATATAATTTATTGTTGCAATTGATTTGCTAACATTTTGCTGAGGATTTTTCTGTCTAAGATTATGAGAGATATTCTGCCATTTTCTTTTCTTTCTTTTTTTGTCTTTGTCTGGTTTTGGTATCAGTGTAATAGTGGCCTCATAAAATTAGTTGGGAAGTGTTCCTCTGTTTTCTGGAAGAAGTTGTATAAAATTTGTGTTCATTCTTCAAATATTTGTGAAAATTTGCCTGTGAAACCATCTGGGCCTGAAGATTTCTATTTCGGGAACCTTACAATGATAAATTCATTGTCTTTAATGGTTATTCAGTTATCTGGCTATTTGGGTTATCTGTTTCATCTTAGTTGAGATTTGGTAGTTTGTGGTTTTTGAGAAATTTAGACCAAATAGTTTTAGACTTGAAATTTTCCATCTTTCCTCCCCCAAAAAACTTTTTGAAGCTGATTCTGTGAGGCTAGTAGCGTAGCCCTAGTGTCAAAATAAAATAAGACCAGATTCCCTTATGATGATAGATTTAAATATTCTAAATAAAACATAAGCACTATCTACGAGATAATTAAAAGATTACAGGGGAATAGCACTTGTCCAGAATGTCCAAGATTTAATCTTTGCTAGATTAATTACAATTCCAGAGTTTAGAAATTATATTTCGAAGAGGTGATTATGATGGAAAAATGATAATGCAGCCTCAAGTCATTTCCGTTCTCTCAGTGTATGGTTTTGGTTTATGATGTGTTTTTCAAGCCTCTTTGAGGGTGGTCCAAATGAAGAAATATATTTTACATCACAATCCAATATGTACAAAATTTAAACAAATATTTCATAGTACCATTACTTGCAAAAGTTCATTGAAAACACATTTTGGCTACATGCTTAACAGCCATGTTTTAAAATTAATATTTGCCTTAAGACAAATGCACTACCTATGGAATCAACTTCTGGCATACAAAAACAAATCTGAAATTTTATTTTTTTATGATAGATTTTGTTAAATAATTTAAGAGTTTTTCTCATCATGAAATTTTGAGGCATTTTATATGACATTTTGCTTTTAATTAATTTTTACAACATGAGAATTCCCAAATAGGACTTTTTGTTGAGATTAATAGCCAAAGTGAAATTAAGATTTATATTTGATATTTGTTATTCAAACTATCAATGCTAATATCCCAACAGTTCTACAAAGACTTCAATTATGATTTAGTCTGTTAATTTGCCTTTTTGTTATATGAATTCTAAATTCATTGGCTCTAAAAAGATAACTCTTAAAGTTACCTGGCCAAGGCACACTCCCTTAATATTTTAGTTAATTCTTATCTGTCTTACTGTTTAACAAAATTTAAATCATTGATACCCACAATTCAAATATACTGTGACTTGCTGAGTTAAGTTCAAAGTTTAGTCATTACACACCAAAAAAATATTAGAGAATCATAATTCATGCATCAGCAAGATGGCTGTGGAGTCACAACAGCCTGCCTTTGTTGTCTGGACCACCCAGCCTGTTTTACTCACGTTTTGTAATTCATTACATCATAAATAAACCTTTCACTGTGGCTTTCGTAATTGCCACATATGAAAAATGTTTTTACAATGATTTAAGAGTAATGTACCTTGTGCTAGCTTAAAATTATTTGTTTCTAATTCCTTTACTTAGGCTCATATCTGTGTGTTAATAACTGAATTTCAGAGATGATATGTTAACCTAAAATTCCCCATAGTATATTTCAAGTCATGTTAGAACTCAGATGATATAGGAAAAAAAGATTCTGTGGTCAAACAAGCCTATAAATCATGGCATATTTCACGTCACTTCTTGGAGCATTAAGTTCATTTTATTTTTTCAGGGCTGTAATCAGTATTGCAGCAGCCAGCCCAGTGGTGTAGTGGTTAAATTCACGTGCTCAGCTTCAGTGGCCCGGAGTTCTCAGGTTTGGATTCTGGGTGCGCACCTAGCACCACTCATCAAGCCATGCTGTGGCAGCGTCCCACATAAAATAGAGAAGGATTGAC